TTTGCTAATCAAAGAGTACAATTAGGAAAAAGATTTTAGAAGGATTTTTAAAGCATTTATTTTAAATAATTTGAATGCATATAGAATTTTTGAGGATTTTTCAAAATAAGAGATATATTAAATAGTCTTAGATTTTAAAAAATAATTTTTTTTTATAAATTTGAAGATTTTTTAAGCATTGTAGGAAATTATTAAGTAAAAACTTGTGAATTTGTCTTCATACTTCTCTTGAGTGAATTTAATAAATTAAATATTAATAAAATAATTAAATTAAAAGATATAAGAATTTTATTAGATTAGGAACTTGAATATTTGAAATTTAGGATCAATAAGGGTTTTTGCAATCTTAAAAAATCCATCAATGCAAATAAGAAAAATTTTATAAGAGTAATTTTAACTTAGATATCTACACATCAACTATTTTTTCAAGAAATTAAATAGTTCAGCAAGGAGAAATCCTTGCTAAAAGATCAACATTCAAATTAAAAAAGAAGTATAGTCAATTTCTAAGATTCTTAGGAGTTTTTACTCTAAATTGGTGAGTTTAATTTTTTTCAAATTTTTTATGTCTATTATTAGCTTTTGGATTAAAATTTAAATGATATTTTAGTTGAAATCAATAATTTGATTTATAATTATTGAGATTTTAGAATAGCCATAGGAATTGCTTAGGATTCATTTAAGATTTTTTTGGATTTATTTAAGATTTATTTAGGATCTCTTTAAGGTTTGATTAGAATTAGATTAGGAATTGATTAGTATTTTTTTAGTATTTGATTAGAATTTAAGATTTGATTGGATTTCATTGAAATTTATTTAAAATTTTATTAAGATTTATTTAGAATTTAGTTAGGATTTGGTTAAAATTTAGGATTTGATTAAGATATGGATAAGATTTGAATAGAATTTATTAGGATTTGATTAGGATTTAATTAGGATTGATTTAAAATTTTAATAGAATTTTATTAGAATTGATTTAAAATTTTAATAGGATCTTATTAGAATTGATTTAAAATTTTAATAGGATTTAATTAGAATTGATTTAAAATTTGGTTAGAATTTATATGGAATTTTTATTTAAAATATTTTTTTAAAGCTTTTTTGATATTTTTTATAATTTATATTATATTATTTTATTAGAATATTTATATTTTATATATTTTATATATTTTTTAAGATTAATATATAATTTATTTATATTTTCTTTGTAATTTTTTAAAGATTTATTTTGGATTTAATTAAAGATTGACTAACATTATTAAGAATTAATTATAATTTATTTAGGATTCTATTAGAGTTGTTAGGAAATTATTGAAAATTCCATTTTATCTTCTACAACCAAGGATCTGGTGCATTTTCAAGCAAACGTTTTGAAATACAATAAGACCATAGCTACCTAATAGTATCCTAAGAAATAGTTGATAAAGCTATACAATTTATGGCTTGCTATCTTATCAATGATTTCTTCCATATATGAGAGACAGTAATAATCATTTTTTGTAGCAATGTTTAGATTATTGAAATTCATGCAAATTTATAGAGCTTCTGATTTTTTTGGAATGATGACCATGGATGACAACTATGAGGCAAAATCCATAGACAAAATAAATTTGGCTTATGGGAGTTTGTCCATCTCTTGCTTTATGGTTTGGATGTAATTGTAATTCATTTGATATTTTCTTTTTTGAATTGGTGTAGCATTTAGGATAAGTTCAATTAAATGATTTTCTATCTCCACAAATATTTTTTTTTAAATATTTATATGACTATGCAAATATGTCCCAATATTCATGAAACAATGCAATTGTGGCAATTTTTATAATATTGGATATATTGGCATTTATTCGTGTGTGTTTGGATTTCCAAGGTGTCTTGAAATTATTATTATTATTATTATTATTATTTTTTCAATTATATGACCATCTTTTGATCATTTTTTCTTCTAGTTTGATGTATACTAGCTATTTATGAATAATAAGCCAATCTTAGAGCTCAACAATAAATTTTATGGATATGTTAAATTATTTGTTGTTTGTTAGAATTATAAGGTTTATTTTTGCAATAGAAACCAAGTGGGTCTTTAATACAAATACTAGCTCTTTTTTATTGTAGATTAGTTCAAAGATTCAATCATTGTTCATGATTTGTTAAGTTGTGGAAGCTTTTTTTAAAGTTATATAACTATCAATGTAGATATAAATGTGTTGATATTGATAGAAAATAGTGATTTTGTTGCTGAACCAATTATAAAATGCATTCATATCTTTCTACCATGGTCTTTGTAAAATGACCTAGAAGTGACTTTTATTAAACATCTAAATTATTAGAAGCTAACTGGTACTCAAATTTCTTAAATTAAGATAATTATATTTTTTAATATTTCAAGGAACTTAACAAGAGCATTATTTGTTATGTAGAATATAAGTGAAGCTTCTTTGGGGTAGAAAAGTTTGACAAACTTGCAGGTATGATTTGCCATGACATTAATGTCAAATCTTCCATAATAAGTACATCAATTAGTTGATTTTTTTTAATGCAAATTTTGATAATTGTAGCATTGAAATCTATAATTGTAGCATTTAAGTTTGTTACGACTTTCAATGATTATTTGAGCATGTCTTATATTTTATATGTTAGTATTTTGAGATTTAATTTGTAATTGCAGTATTCTTGAATATATTTTGGATTGCAATTTCTTTGGTATTAGAATCAATTGGCTTCATGACCTTATCTATGCATAACTCCTAATATATCTGTTTACATATCTTTTTAAGCAACTCCCAATATTCTATAATTTATAGGAGGTGCAATTCTCATTTAATTATAAGACTTCATTAATTTCTACTCCAATTAAGTATGCTTTGATATGTTTATTGAAATCACCTATGAAATCATAACTGCTATATTTTAAGGCTAGGTTTTCTTTTGTTGATTACCATTATTGAGATTGAAATAAAGGTAGTGGATAGACTTTCTTGTAGAATTTGGCCATAACCTTCTTCTATTTTTTTATTTGGTTGCCATGTTTAGATTCTTAAAACTTAAATTATAAATTTATGATTATTTATGGAAGTTTCTTGTAATACTATGATATTTCTTGTAAATTTGTTTTTATAGAATCTTTTATTATTGTGGTAGATTATTGTAACCAACTCTATAAATCTTTAGCTCTTTTGAAGACAATAGTAGTCTCTCTTGAATTTTGCTTACCAAACTCAAGTCAACTAGAAGAAAATCTTTCCATATTCCATCTTGCTCTGGTTCCTTTACTTATTTTCCTTATGGATCTTGTGTTCATCTTTTGTTGAATTCTTTCAAGGTTATGTTGGATGATGCTCTCTAATAAGGTTACTAAATATTATTCAAGCTTTTGAAGTTATTGGCAAACATAAGATAAGACCTCATAAGATTAAATTTGACACATATGATGTTTGAAAAAGAGACAAGGTCCAATTTATTGCTTAGTCAAAATTATATAGCCTTCAATTCAATACTAACTAATTTATAGAGCTACTACCTAAGACTTGCTAAGTATTATACTACTTCTTAACTACCAGCTACATGCTTTCTTCAATCTTTAAATATTCTTCTACTTTACTATGTCCTTGTTAATTTTGATGGCCTTGTAATAATATCTTATCAGCTTGCTCATTGCTTCTTTCACATCATATTGTTGGAGTATTCTGGTAGGTATCATTTGAGTGCAAATACAAGCTCCTTAGACATGTAACATCATTGCAGGTAGATGTAGTTACCTTAGATGGATAACAATTATTAAAGACTTAATAAGATTATCATAAAAAATAAAAATATTTATTTTTAATATAAGGACTATTTGATCACCTAAATCAAATAAAGATCCATATAAAAATAGATCTACAAGAAGCATACAACTTAGTAATTATTCAAGAAAGAGAAGAATAGAAGGTTGTGTTTTAAATCAATTATGGAAAATTTGAATATAATGTCATATTTTTCCAACTTATAAATAAGCCAATTACTTTTTAACATCTAATAACTAATATTTTTAATCTTTTTAGATGGTTTTGTTGTTTATGATCTAAACAACATTTAATCTACTCAAAAATTATAAAAGAGTATGAATTCAATGTTTTTTTTTTTGTTACGAAAAACTTAGAGATATATGGCTATATGCCAAGATAGAAAAATGTATACTTTATACAATTCAAGTTGATTTCTTAGGATATATAATTTCAAATGACAATCCTAAGATTGATCATAAGAAAGTTCAAAATATCATACATTGTAAAATTTTAGAAGTAATAAAGGATTTTTAATGTTTTTTAGTATTTGCCAATTACTATTAAATTTTTATTTAAAAAATTCTTCAAGTTGTAGCTCTACTTACATCTTTTACTTGTAAAAACAAACTTAAGTGGAATAAAGAAATTAAAATATCATTTGAAGCTTTAAAGACAATTCTTATTGCAACATCAATTTTATATTGCAGTGACTTCTCTAAGATATTTTTATTTTTATAAAAATAGATACATTGTACTTTGCTGCAAAACTCAAACGGGTACCTGCCTAAAACAACAAAGTCGGAAAATCACCTGGTACAAAGCCAAGTACAGCTGATGCTGCTCCACAACTCGACAAAGCAAGCCAACATGCAACTCAACCCTAACTGCAAACCTTTACCGACACATGGCACATGCAGGGGACCCAAGCTACTGTTTATCCGAACCTTCCGAGTAGACCTGATGTCATCACAAAGCAGCTACGGATCACCTCGGCTCCAATGAATGATGCTTATCACCAAAAAGAGAGAAGCGTCGTCACAGCATCATGCAAGAGAGAAGGCACAGCGGAGCATTCAGCGAGCGAGCGCGAGAAGAGGCTACGTATGAAACTGAGTATTCATTTAAAGTACCCATCGAAGCGTTCATCCAGAGCGTTCATCCAAAGTGATCGTTAACGAGAGTAACGGTCAACGGCCTGTCCCATCACTGGAACTGTGACAGGGCTGGCGCCCCCGCCATGTTTCAACCTCGTTTCCAGAAGCTTCTTCTTCTAATGCTTCTTCCGCATTTTCTCTTGGAGAGTGATCATGGATTATCTCCACTTTTGTAGACGTATGCGGCGTAGCAGACAGGCTGTGGAGCAGATCGCCTCGCGTTACCCTTAAAGACGACCGACAGGTGAGTTTGCTTGCGCACTGTTTTGAGGGAGTAGTTATTTTACTGAGGTGGCGCTGGATCGTCTTGTAGGGGATGAAGTAGGATTGGAAACCTGAGGGACGGTTTGGTTTCTATTTCTGAGTGGGTGAAGGAGTTAGGGTTTGCAGAGCCGAATCTTGGAGGAGGTAAAATTTGTGGATAAGATTGAAAGGGGGGGATTCGAAAATGGAGGCAGAGGGTAAGAAAGCGTCTGTCGTGGATGTTTGGAATGCTTTGAAAGAAGACGATGCCACTCGGAGTACACGCAATATTGATTCGAGGATGAAAGTAGATTGGAATTCTTACCATATTAGGGATGCTGTCAAACGGAAGAAGAAAGCCTACCCTTCTGCTATGTCCTGCGATTCACATCTCGCGGATTATTCTCTCATGGAAGCTGCACATTTGTTTCGAAACTCTGAGGGAACGCTGGAAGTTGGGTGCCCCTACGAATGCAGGGCTGAATGTAAGAGCTCCAAGAGAGGGGATGACAGTGAGACGCGGGTTCATGGAGACAGAAATTTGTTTCCTGGTGAAGTTGACCGGCAGCCTGATCTTGCGATCTTGCAATATGCAAAACTGAAAGCAGCGTATCTAGAAAAGATCCGAAAAGACAGTTTAGCCAACGCGGCGACCTGTGTAGAACAGCTGAAACCTAATGCAGCCCCAGGTAATAGGGTACCCCATGAAGAATCTCATCAAGAAAGTACTGGTGTGTCCGAACAAGATCCTTTCAAAACATACTCTGACGTTGTTGGCAAGCTCGTCGTGGATAATGAGAACCTTCAGCGCGACAGCCAATGTTTTGACAATGATCTTGACGATGGTGCTCTGAAAAATGGAGCGCACCCAGCGAGTGTTTATATGTGTTCTAATGTGGAGGAGAGCGTTGAGAAGAGTCTGGACGAAGTGGTTCCTCCTTGTGGAGCGGTCAAAAGTCAAAATCTAGATGACAAAGACCAGAATTTGGCTGCAAGAATAGAGCAGGCAACGATGGAGCAAATAGAAGGGGTGGCAGTACAGATGGGGTCAGGACGAGAACCAGCGAACCACGAAATATTTAATCCTGTCCAGGCAACTCCAGCTCTTGAACCCCATCATATTCGCTTTGCACTTCCCGAGGAGCAATCACGCATTCCGGTGACTACCGACACTGCCAATACCGTAGATAATCCTGAGAACCAAAATTTGGCCACTGCGTTGAACAAAGACTTGAACTCTTTGACAGCCGACGAGGGAGGAGTACGTGTAGCTGCTCTTCAGAGACTTCAAGTGACCCTCTTTGGAGAAGAGTCGTGCTTTCAGAACATGAGAGAAGAAACCGGGTCGAAAGGAGAGAGCAGGCGGCACAGCCTGGGATGGGCGGCAGAAGAGTTGGTCGTCAAACCTCTATTGCTGCGCTTTGAAGATCCCTCGGAAAAATGCAGGATACTCGCGATTACGATTCTTCATAAGTTAGTTCAAAATCAACCCATGAATTATGTAGCTCTGTATAATCTCTTCGCGCTCATAGCTGTTAACAAAGGCAACGTTGTAATGATTAATTAGTAGCTGATTTGCAGCTGTATAATTTCTTAACATGACATTCAGAAGTTAAATATCAATTGTACAATGCCTAATTCTTCGCATAAGAAAATTTCAGTGGGACTCATATTAAGGTTGCTACTAGAAGTGCCAAGCGCGGTGATAGTTTTGCTGCCATACATTCTCCCAGTAATTGGCGAGCGCTTGCCCCTCAAGGTTCCCCTTGCTCCAAGTAACGACCAAGATGAACTATTGAAAGAACCGGTAACTGATCACTTGGGAGTCTATTGCCTATCATTGGATTTGTTTATAAGATTTACAAAGTAACGTTTGACCATAAAAGTGTATTAGTAGTATGAGTTGATGGTTACATGATTTTAATGATGTGCACGCGCTCATGCAGCCCGTCATTCAAGCCCTTGTCGTAGAGCCATCGGAAGAGGTGAGGTTGCAACTGGTGCAGGTCATAAGTTCTCTTTTGAAGCAGGCTCCACGGCTAATTCAAGCTTTTGCCTCGGATGTTGCTTCAATCCTGGTTGCTGGAACATTTGATACAAATCCGGATGTGCTTTTGGTACCTGATGATCTTGAGCTCCTCCGTTGCCTTCTGTATTAATCCCATTGGTTTTTGTATGCTTTTTAGCGTATAGTAACTTTGTGAGGTGATCGTCAATTGAGGCATGCGGGTATTGATACATTGCCGGGGAGTGCATTGCAGGTGGTATTTCCAACACTTGAGTTATTCGGGGAGATAATGGAGTACAGATTAAAGCCCATTGGGAAACAGCTAGTGAGGGTGTGTCATCGGTCCCTGTCCCACAATCACTGTCGCGTACGCGTGGCTGCCCTGAAGGCCGTCTGCAGGTATCGTTTCGTGATGATAGCTGTTCTCTCTGTCTTTCTCTCGGGTACTCCCAACGGACGCATCTGTGACATTAGTGATATTGTGGCGTTGTAGATTGACGATGTGTGGAGCTCATGATGCTATTTACGAATTAACTGCGTATCGAGACCCGAATCTTGTTCCCATTAAGGCCTTTTATGAACCTGTCCCGAAGGTCTGTCTGCTTCTAATCGCTCAAATTTCTTGGTTTCGCATAGGTACCATCGTATGGACAACTAACTTGCAGAAAAACTCTCAGAAAGTATTGTTAATCACAATATAAAGATACTAATGCTGTGTGTGCAGACGCAATATTTAGCTATGCTGGCCACAGATAAAAACTCAGTTGTAAGAAAGGAACTATATACAACCGTAGCCTGTTGGTTGCGGGAGCTGGGTGAACGGAAAGAACATGAGTGCCGCCTTCTGCCGTAATTTTCTTCTAATCCAACGCCTTTTCTTAATACGACCGTCCTTTTCAGGTAAAATAATTCATGAAGATACAGTAACGTGATCGATGTTTCGTGATTGCGTTGTGCAGATATCTTCTGGCTGGGTTTCAAGATGCTTGTCCTCACTTGCAGATGCTTGCTTTTGAACTCACCGAAGGTGTGGGTCTTCAGTAAGTCAACTCCACAAATGTACAATATTTTGAAAGTTTGTGTAGAGGATTGAGAATCTTGTTACTGTAATGTAGACCCTGACGCTATGGGCAGAGTGCAAGAAAACTTCGTCAACACATTCGTGAGTTTCTGGCTTGGACAGATACGAGGAAGAGAACGAGAATGAGGTGAAAGATACCCGCACCTACCTTGCCGAAGAAACTGATGATATAGTCAGCGTCTGCGGCACTCCCCTGCCTCATCCTTTTAAAAGTAAGGTCTATCATTTTGCACTATCAACATGCTCGGATTTATGTTGTCAGAACAACAGTTGCTGATTTATCACAGCTTCACAGAAATGATGGTGTCACATTGCCTCTGAAACCAAGGAGGAAGGCAGAAGTCCCGCATGCGTATTTTTGCAACTCAGAACTTATATTACATCAGTGAACTTCTGAAAAGAACAGCACTGAATTTCTGTCCAAGCCGTAGCTAACCACATTGTTTGTTTAAGCATGTTAGAAAGACCATGTCTAGGAGCACGGATCATGGTGAAGAGCGTAGCAGCAATAATCCTTCATGCTATCTCTATGGACATTGAGTGTTGGACGATGGGCACTAAAGAGCTTGCAGCGAATTTTCTTCTTACACTCTTGTTCTTTGTCGAATCACATATCACCATGCACTTGATGCCCCTCCTTAAAATAATGCACAGAGCTATTGGCGAACCTTCTATCTCTAACAAGGTGTGGTCATGACTTTTACAACATTTCTACTCGGTGTGGACGGTGAACAAGATTCTGAAATGTAAACTGGACATGTAACGAAGAATGTCTACGTTTTCACAGAACCCAGAGTTCTGACATTACCTAACTGAAGTTCAGTGTTCACTTTATGCAGATTCTGGAGAGTGCCAAGGTCTTGGGTTTCTTCGTACCTCCAGATTCTTATTTACCTTTGATGATGCCACGGATACATGGAGATGTGAGTGCTGATGTTTCCGTACATACTTTGGGCCATGCTTTGCAATTGTTGGATGGTATTCTCGCCGGAAGCAGTCCCGAGCACATCCTGCCACACATCCCTGAAATATGCTCCACCCTCACCGATCGTCACATCATGACCAGCATTCAGCAGTATTTAACTAACTTTTTCTCATGTTTTTCAGTTGATAATTCTTGTCGTACACATTTTGTGGCTTGAGCCCAAAGAGGTGCACATGCAAATTTCCGCTTTGAAAAGTTGCATGCTGCAATAATAATTTGAAGCAAATGTTCTCATCCATCCCTGTCCCTGCGAAGCTTTACCAGTTGAAAATTGTGTTTGAACAGGAGCGTTAATGATGGGGTTGTAGCAGTAGCGAAACAGCTCATTAGAGCTTGGGATCAAAACGTATGCGCCCAAGAAGTCTCAGCCATGCTGTGGCTATTATTGAATGCCGCAGCAGCTTCCGATTTTTGCTCTCGTTCTCCGCATGAGGTAAGAGTAGTAACCTCTTCCATTGCATGTTGGCAGCATGCATTTATTAGAGACCTAGATCACAAGGGTTGTGAAAAACCTGAACTTTTTGTAATGAACTTTTGTGGACACCTGATCAGGCTGAGAGTGCAATACAAGCTCTGGCTTCGGCATCAGGCAACGATTCAGGAGAAGCAATTATTGCATTTTATGTGGACGAGATATTAGAAATTTTGCCTCATCCTCGAAAATGGGCATTGCGATCGCTGGACGGGTTGGTTTTCTGCAGGATTCTACAATCATCTGTGTTGGTGGATGAGACAACTCTGGACAAGTTAGTACATACAGCTTTCTCCATGGAGGCATTGAAATTGGATTTGCCAATCATACGATAGGTAGAGGGAGATGCTAGGTGCCAGAGCTTGGTCTAGGTTTAGAGTTGCCATGTTCCGCTGATCTGTGACTATGCACGTCAATGTTCATATTCATTGTTGGGATTATGAAGCTATGTGATGAATTGATGGATATCTGTCATGGCAGGTTGATAAAGGCTTTTGGTTATTGCATAAGAAAGGCAGCTGATGACGACGTAAAACTCCGGTTAGTCCACGTCGCTTTCGAAAATGGGAATTATCTTCCTGTTGATGTTTATTGCTTTAAAACACGTTCATTGCTTGTTTATTTTTAATCTTGGTTGTTCATGATCTTAATTCGTCAGGTTGATAAGGGCAGTTGAGCAGCTACTGACGAAAGGGGAATTCGAATGGGCACAAGGCAAGCGACACATTGGCAATATGTGGGAAAGCTTCTTAGTTCCATGTTTGCAACAAGAGGATGTATTAGTACCACCTACACTCAATGCGATTGTTTCAATTTGGTCTAAATCAATTCCAAAGGAGGTCACCATCAAACGTCCATTCCATGATACTGAAGATGCCTTAATGAGAGCTATCGAGAAGGTAGTGAGAAAGCACTCCAAAGAAGAGGCGGAGGAAGTAGTTGCCACAAATGGAGATCTAGGTGACCAAGAAAAACTGCTAGAAGAAAAGAGATTCCAGGAGTTTATGAAGAAAGCATCAATACCTCCTATCGACGCCCCTATGGTCGACCAAATCAAAGCAAAATGCATGGGTATACTCAAAAACCTCAGTTTCTTGGTATATTTTCACATAATTGCAGAAAGTCATCTTAATCTTGCTAATGGAATGAGATTCTAAACAATGTCGGGCACGTGTCAAACTTAGTCTGGACATAGGGAACAAGCTTTCTGTTTCAAATCTTAGGCATTCCATAACTCCTAGTCACTGAAGCCATCAAAACTCTGCTATTTCTTTCTTTCTTTCTTTCTTTCTTCATAATTTTTTTGTCAAGCTGAAACTTCATGAATCAAAAAAAGAGTTGCCAAATTGGTGTTATCTGATTATCGGCTTAAAAGCTCATGCAATAAACCATTGCTTGTGACTCTTTGAACATTTTCCAGAGACGTTGACGTTCATGATCGGTAGAAGTGCGAAGAGATTTGATGCCGGACGAAAAGTGTTCTAAAGAACATAATTTGAAGAAACACCATACGTGCACCTCAGAACGGGGCTTCCTGTACATTCCTTATTTATATCTACTCCTGGTAATATAATAGTAGATTAGAAAGAGGAAAGTGCAAAAACATTCTCAAATGATGAGACTAGTTGTATGTATAGAGAAAACTAGAGATGGTAGTAAGTATGAACAACACAATGTGTTAGCAAAAGATGTAATAAGAAGAGAAGTACTTAAGAAGACAATGCAAGTACTTTAGAATGAATAAGACTTAATCATAGCATTTAGTAACCATCTCAAGCAATAGAACTACACCAAAATAAATTTATACTTTCTAATTATTTTTTTCTAAGATTAATTTATAATTGTGTTGCATTTTATATTTATATTTTTTAAAATAAAAAACAAAAGTTGATAATTACATTTTCAAAGCCAAATAGAATTCTTAATAAAATATGTAATCTTAATATGCTTTGTAAATAAAAATTATAGAATAAATAGTTTTTTAAAAATATCTTTTTTATCTAAAAATATATATATATATATATCTTTATAAAATATATGTATTTATATACAATATCTAATTATTACAAGTATGTGCAAATTTTAGTAATAAAAATAAGATAAAGTCAAATTTCTCTAGAGTATTGATATATTAGTACATATAAAATCTTTGAAGATTTATACTTGAATCTCATTAAATGATTTGATTCAGAAATTAAAAAAAAAAAAAAAAAAAAAAACTAAACTAAACTAAACTAAACTATACTAAATGGTCCTTTATATTACAACCAAAAAATAAAATAAATAAATAAACTAAGACAAAATTATAATAGCCATAGATTTTTAATATTATCATCTATAGAAATTTAGTGTGTTGATATTTAAAAAATCAATTCAATTATAAAATATACATATATATATATATATATATATATATAAGAAAATAAAATAATTTATTTATTATATATATAATTATATAATTATATTTATTAAAAAATTATTACATGATTAAAAATGATAAGTTATTATTAATTATAAAAAATAGATAAAGTACAAAAGAGAAGCTTTCTATGAGGCTTGAGAACAAAGCAAGCCTAAGATCCTTCTTCAACAACTTCCTAAATCATCTAAAGCCTCCTAGAACCTTCTAAGATCTCCTATGATGTTTTAGAACTTGCTTAGAATCTATAGGAACCTTCCGAAACCTTCTAGAACCTTTAAGAGTCTTCTTAGAACATACTTGTACCTTCTATAATCTTTTAGAATCTTTTAGAACCTTTTAGAATCTTCTTCAATTGTATGTCTGTGACATCACGTCTTCTTCTAGCTTCAAGGTTTTCGAGAAGCAATGTTACAACAAGCTAGTATATGTGTAAGAAGTTGAAGATCTGCTGCATAATGTCTGCTATATATTCTGGTTATTTTTTGCAAGGCAAATGGTTTATAAGTCCTTATAGCCATCAATAGTATCTCAAGCCTTCTACTTGTGACTAAGCATGAACTTTGGTATCTTCATTATGAAATTGTCCTGCAAACATTCTTTCTAAACATCCTTGATATGCAGGTTCTATCTCAAACACAATTATCAGTGAACTATTACTAAGTATCCTTGGATGTCTTGGTGATTCAAGTAGCTCTTTATCTCAAGGTCGTCTCTACAAGCTACTTGGTTGAGATGGTTTGATTGGCAAGGCGTCTATCTCTTGACTATCCATATCATATAAAGTAGACAAGATCAAAAGAATATAAACAAGCTATGGTTGTGAACTCAAACTATTGACTTATACTATTCAAAACATTTGACAACAACTGCCTCTTCAGAGGTTGCCTCCTACCCTTCTTTATAAGGCCAAGAACTAAAAATCTTCATAGTGAAGCCATCTTACCAAGCTATTGTTTTTTATTTTGTTATTTTTGGTCTAGATGGATGTCGTTGATGGAGCCTTCAAACCTTCATTTGTGCATTTATAAGGTTACCAACTGATTCCCATGTACAATTGTTGATATCATATCCATGCCAATGGACTAGATATTCAAGTGTTCCATTTTTTATCCTTGAATCTAATACCTCTTCTACCTCAAATTCAACATGATCATTGATTTCAACTATAGGAGGTGGTGGTTGTCTTTGACTTGGTATGTTTGATTCTTTATACCTTTCCAAAAATGAAACATAAAAGACTAGACGAATCTTCATAGATAAAGGTAATTCTAAGCAATAAGTTACGTAATTAATTTATTTTTGAATCACAAATGGTCCCAACCTTCGGTAGTCCAACTTATTACATGGTATGTTGGTTTTTATATTGTGCCAAAGAAGCCATACTTTGTCACCAACTTAGAATGGACGATGTTCCTTCTTTAATTCATCTGCCAATAACTTATAATGTTGTTGAGTCCTTTTTAGGTGAGTCTTCGAGGTTGCTTGAAGTTTGGCTATCTTTGTAGCAAACTCCTTTGTTGTTAGATTTGTTGACTTTAAAGGCTCTATCATGTCCAACTTTGGATGATGATTGTAGTTTGAGTAGAATAGTATTTGCTATCTAGATGCATGGATTGTGTTTTTATATGCAAACTTTGCCAACGACAAGTAGGAAGTCCAATTGTCTTATTAATAGTTGATGGTATACTTCCAATATTACTCAAGAATTTTATTGACCTGCTCCGTTTGGCCATCAGTTTGAGGATGGAAGGGAGAGAAAAGGTTGATGTCAACCTTAAAAATCTTAAAAAGTGCCTTTCAAAACCTTGATACAAATTATGGTCCATGATCTGACACAATATCCTCTAGCAACTTGTGGTAATGATAGATATTCTCAATAAAGATTCTTGCCATCTCTTCACCAGTAATTGATTTCTTATAATATATAAAATGTTCCATCTTGGTCAATCGATCAACAACTATGAAGATAGTGTCAAATGAGTTTGATGGTTGAAGATCTGTAATGAAATCCATAGACATAGATAACCATGGTTGTCTTGGAATAGTAAGGGGTTGAAGAAGTCCATATGGCCAATGTTAAGGATTCTTTGATCTTGAACAAGTATCACATGATAATACAAATTCTTTAGCATCTTTTCACATCTTAGGCCACCAAAAGTCTATAGACAAAAATTCCAAGATATTATTGAATCCAAAATATTCGGCTACAAAGAAGTCATGGCGTGTTTGAAGAACGTGCAGGTGAGTTGGTCCTTCAGGAATAAACAAATGTTCTTCAAAGAATAAGGCATTGTCTTCATACTTGAATTTAGAAGACAATTCAAAAAGATTGTTGATAATATGCTTAATATTAAGAATAAGAGAGTCTGTGTTTGAGGCTTTACGAATTTGATCAAGAAATGATAAATCCACACGCATTCATACATCGGTTGCTCAAAGATAAAATTACTCAGGTTTTAACAAGGTTGCCCGTTGTTGATTATATGCTACCTCGTCTTCTTTTGATTCAAGGTAGAAACATCTTGATAATGCATCTGATAATCTTTGTTGGCTTTTGAGTCAATATGTGATGCAAAAGTCAAATCATCATAAAGTTATATTCCACTGTGCTTGGCGACAGTTTAATACTTGAGTTGACATGAAATATTTAAGATTCTTGTGATGAATATATAAAGTCACTTGATGATAGGAGCCTTCAAGAAAGTAGCGCCATTCTTGAAAAGAATCTACAATAGTAAGTAGCTCTTTATTATAGATTTTATAATTAATTTTTATCATTGAGAATTTTTTAGAATAGAATCTAATTAGATAAAGTTTGCTATCTTCTCCATATTATCACAAAATTGCTCTCAATGCAAAGTGTGAGGCATCAATTTCCATAAAATAGGGCTTGTTGAAATCTGGATGTATCAAAATGGGAGCTATTGTGAAAGCATCTTTTAAGCTTTGAAAAACTTTCTCTGCTTTGGAGCCCTAGTTTATTTTGTCCTTGCATGTCAACCATGTAAGTGGAGCAGCAATCTTGGAGTAATTCTTAACAAAAAATCTTGTAGAAATTTAGAAATCCAAGAAAGCATTGAATATCACATATAGTTTTTGGCTTTGCCCAATTGATGATTGCTTGTACCTTCTTTGGTTCCATAAAAAGACCTTTGTTGGAAATAATATATCCAACAAATTCGACTTGAGGTGCATGAAATACACACTTCTCTAGTTTTGCATATAATCTAGCACTACATAGCTTTTCTAGCACAAGGCAGACATATTTTTTGTGGTCTTTCAGATTCTTGAAAAAGTTCAAAATATCATCTAAATAGATCACAACAAAGTCATCAAGATACTCACAAAATATGTCATTTATTAAGTATTGGAATATGGCTAGAGCATTGGTAAGTCCAAAAGGTATGACATTGTCTTCCATTCATCTCTCTTTTTAATGCATATCAAGTTATAAGTACCTTGTAGATCAATTTTTGTAAAGATCTTTGCTTAGCTAAGTCGATTAAGAAGTCCGGATATCAATGGCAATGGATATCAATTCTTTATCGTGATTTTATTAAGACTACAATAATCAAGACACATTCATAAGGATCCATCTTTTTTCTTCATAAATAATATTAGAGTACCAACTGGTAACTTAGAATATTGAATAAAATTCTTAGCCAGATTTCCCTCAATGTATTCTTTTAAAGTCGCAAGCTTATTTTGAGATAAATTGTAGATGTTTCCAAATGGTGGTTGAGCACCTTTTTGAAGGTCAATTGCACAATCATAAGGGCAATGCTTTGGCAAGATATCTATATTTTTCTTTTCAAATACATCTGCAAAATCCTTATATGCCTCTGGAATTGTTGTTGTAGCAACCACAAGTTTTGAGTGTGGATTTGCATAGACAAAAACATAGTATCTTGTTTGATTGTCATCACAAATGCTCTAGCTCTAATAAATAAATGTTTTTTAAATTTTAGCTTGTCAGGTGTTAGAAGTTTTTTTTATAGATCTAAAGATTCCATGATCTACTAGAAAAAATTCTAACTTTTGTGATATCCAATCTATTCGTGGATTATATTTTTTAAGCCATGAGAATCCTAAAATGATTGGACTTGATGGTGATCTAATGATGTTGAATACTACTTGGTCACTATGGTTGTCAAAGATTATTTCTAATGGAATTGTTTTATGAGTGACATCTCTAGAGAATAAAGGTCAACTATCTATTACTTCTATATGTATGGCTTTAGATTTTTTTGACTATACAGATTTTGTGTAATCTAAAAAATTCTTTGTCAATAAAACATGCAAAGACTCTTAAGTCAAGTAATGCATGACAATCTAGTTTTATAACCCCTAACCATACATATATAGTAAAACAACGAGAATGGCTAGCAGAGAGTACAAGACCTCTT